CAAAGCCCCTACCTTATCAGGAACACAGCAGCTTGCTATGCAGCGCCAAGTAGAATAAGCACTCAAGTCATCGATGAGACTTATACAAAAGTTCTGGAAGATTTGGACGCAGTATCTAACCAATCCTAGAGAATATCACAAAATCCACATAGATGACAAAAGCGGTACAAGCGCGAGACCTGTTGAAGGGAACGTTGTCTCGGTGACCAATACAGCCTCGGAACGCACGGAAAGTCGTATCCATGTCCAGCAGAAACAACTCGTCCGATGATATTATACGAGAGGTTAGGTTGTGCTGCCAAGCAAGACACGTGTGCGATGTCAGGTGATTAGGATCATACCATTGGAAATACAACATACTACCGAGACATCTTTCCGTCTACGCTTCCGCACATCTTCTCCGCCATCGCAGTACAAATTACGCAAAAGTAAACCCATCCCATAGGAAGAAGAAGACCACGACGAAAAACACGAAGGGAAGACCGTTCTTCCGTGCAGACACTATCGCCACCCATCCCACATAACCGACCCTTACCCACCCTCATCTTATAATGACCCATACCTCCCAGCCATCCCATTCCCCACCACCCAATAAACTAATCCAGAGCATGCCTCTCCTGATCATTTTCTTCTGCTTCCTAATGAGTATTTCTTCGGCCGAAGGTTTTAAGGAGCGCCACTAGTCATACTGCACAAAGGGAGGAGTCGTGCTATCGCAGAAGTCGCGACACCAATATGAAGTTTGCGCAGAAGACCACTGAATGCTAACCACGCACAGCGATCTCTCTTACCGGTGTCCTAGTATACGCAACGATAACACTGCTACTGCTTCTATTTCGTATCGGTCTTCGTTGGACACCCACTATTGCACATCTTTCGGATTTCGGTAAGAATTGGAATGTTATCAATAAAAGTGGTATTCCTTTTCATAGTGAAAACGATATCCACTATGTTCACGAGGATTTGCCACAGAGCACACAGGACAAGACGCCGCCGTTTGTGGTCAGAAATCGCTATTCTTCTTGCCACCTATTCCACACTATCAAGCGGATGCCAGGAAGGTCGATATTTTTATTGGATTCAATCATGTCGAAATTTTGACAAAGGAGAGTCATGCACTATTGATACCTTGGAAATTGTGGAAATCAGCCCCTTCGAGCAATAAGCTTGTCTTCTTTTCACCAACAACCATAAAAACCTCTTAGAAATCAACCTGTTATAGAAATCGCTCGAGTTGAATTGTGAGAGTGAAACCACAAAGTTCACACGCAGTACTCGGTACGGGCTCTTAGCCAGAAAGAGGTTTGTTCACAAAGGAACATGCACAGGCAAAAAATGCGGAGCAATACATCGTCTGTTTCAGTAAAAAAAAACTCGAAAACGTTAGCGACTTCCCGGGCGTGACCGGATTTGCTGATAGTGGCGGAGGGCTGGGCTGCAATTGCCTGTATCTCAGCTCGGGCGATCTCTTTTACAGTATATACCCCCCAAACGATGAACTTTTTTTCAGGAAATCTTTCGCTGCGCGATTAGGAAGAACTGCAGTGATGTCAGTGCAACTACAAATGACAGTCAGTAGAAGCCAACAGAAACACGAGCTGTCACAGACTGAACACAGACTTCCATCTCACACCGAATTTGCCTCAGATTCTACCCCTCGCCACAGTCATGTTTTCATCGATGAGCGTGCCTCGCACTCCGTTGAATTCATTGCGGACAGAACTCATACGGCATTAGCACCGGCTGGATATACTCCACCACTGAGTTCTGGCACTTGAGAACAAGCGAATAAGATGTCATACGAAATAGTGGAGATCTGTAAATGTACTCCAGCAAAGGTGAAAATGCGATGCGACTGCAAAGGCTTGAACCTTCCTGCTCATATGTTACATCCGGAGCATTAGTTATCTATTATGCTCCCAAATGTGGAGCTTCTAATAAAGAAAACCTGATTGCCAAGATAGCACACTTGTCAACTGCGGAATTCATAGACAAAATCAAAGACGAACTGAGTACGACTACAGTACGTCGGATGCCCTATACTCATGGGAATGTACCAAATGCACTGGATGCTGCAACTGTACAAAGGGAGCACGAGCGGAACTACCGGAGGAGGAGATATCAGAAATCCAGTGTAAGGATTACGCATTTAGTGTTCTCCGTTTTTCTCGAGGATTAAAATCAGAGCATCATTTCACTTCGACCCGAGCACATTCCATATCTATATTTTTTCATAATGCAGCAGAAATCAGCAATCGTTCTATTCTTCGCTATGCCGGTATCATAATATTAATGCAGCCACTCGAAGAACTACACGGAGAAAATGAAGCCTTCACGGAAATTAACTTTCCAGATATCGGGCACATACTGGATGTCTTCCTGGGATGGAGCGGAGCACATGCTATAACAGCCCCACTACTGGTACTAGCTTCTGATTACGTACTTCTTGGTAAATAATACCGCATGTTTCCTTATCCTTAAGCTCATCATTCGCTTAAGAGTACTAATCAGTCGACTGTTCTTCAATATTGTCGTCGCGCGGACTTACCACTGTCCACCACCTCTCCATGTCGGTGACGGCCCATACACCGATGATGAGCCTAAAATGTGTGAACAGACACAACTGCTAATACAGGGGCTCGTATTGATTCGAGGGGCCGTAAAAATTTTAAAATCTGCGCAACGCACAGTTGCAATGACTCCGAGCATCCGGATTCAGGGCAATCATGACGGCCTCACAACAACCATGTGAAAGGGCTTCCATTACCAACTTTTAGATGTGCGGCAAAAATTTGAACGTGTGAAACATTGCTCAGATTTTTCAGTTATTCACCAGAACGAGAACAACTATTTCTCGTTCTTTCTATTCTTACTGTTTGGACTGGTTTTCGAACTAAAGATTTATGGGAAAGATAAAATTATGGTGGTTCCGGTTTTTCGAGGTTTCTCCATATTTGCCGTTCACTGATTGTACGAAGTTGGAGAAAACTGCATCCAAACCTTCCCATAGATATATTGCACAATCGAATAGCCTGAGTTCACAGTCAATGCAGTCTTTGAACCTAGAGTGTCCATAAGCTTCGCGCCAGTTTTTGAACCTTTTTTGAGCGCAAGAAATCCATTTAGCGATCTCCAAATATGTTCACGTAGGCACAAAGGTCGCATTACAATTCGTAGGAATTCATGCTAATAAGCCCAATTTAGCAAAGTATGCCCGCTCCGCCACAACCGGGAATACGCGTTTTGAAAAATGTGCGACTCTTGATCTTGAAGCTTAGTTGAGAAGTCCAAACAGTTCCAGCGAGCAGCGGCGATCAGGCTGCTGAAAGGCTGCTCCGGAAATCACCTACTCTCCTTGCTATGCAATCAAAATACGACTCAAAGAACTTCGGAATCGACCTCATGCCTTTCAGCTTCAAACAGCCGACTTCCTGGGAAGGCGGCAACAGCTCTTCGGTGATTTGTTGGAAAAAAATTACAGATAATTATGGTATGTATACTTATGACAGCTATTACGCTTTACTAACAACTGTTCGGAGAGCCGTTTAGCAGATTTGGAAGGCAGATTTGGAATCAGCGTCTGGAGACGCATCAGGTGGTATACATTCTCATTTTATACGGCCACTTCGACCTACCATCCTTTCCTTGTGAGGCCAACCACAACACACTATTATGAGCGAAAGTGGCTTATCAATCAAGCTACTGAATTACGTTCACGAATCAACATCTTTATATTTATTTTATTATTTTGCTTTCAGTTCTAACGATGCAGAAGTAGTCGTAAACCTAATTCTCTCTAGGAATGATGGCGCTAAGCCTAAAGTTGAACTGGTTGTCGAAGTCTTGTAAGTTCTGTATGAATCGTGTTCTCTGCGCACCGAAACTCCATCCCTCTCTCTGCGTGCACGCGAGCAACTGAAATTTATAACGATATAATGGTAACGGCAGGTCGTTTACACACTAATAAGCGAGTGTGGAGCATTTAGTGCATCACTATTTGGTTCACTCTGCTTGCTATACACTGCGTTTTATAAATACAATAACACCCTATATTTTTTCTATTCCAAACTTGCTGGCATTGTTCGAAAATACGGTGATCTAATCAGACTCCTAAGACGGAAAGCACTGATGTGTTCTGAGAAATTTACCCTCAGATGACCTATATGTCCTTTTGACATGAAACTCCACCGTTTCATGAATAAGCGGCCACTAATGAACAAATCCCATTTCCATCATCCATGGAGGGAAATAGGAATGCAGGTTCACCATACCTCGCGCTCCTCGCCTCTCTTCCAACTAACAACCTCAAGTCAAAGCACTTATTGAAGCCGGATGGTCGTGCAACAGAATTGTCGTCCATATCGTCCCTCCTTATCGCACTTAAGCAAGTATAATTGCGAAATACTGATCAGTACAGAAAGAAAAATTAGTCTTGGTCGACAAAGCTGCTTTTTATTCGAAACGAAAGAATAATTGGGCGTCTCCTGTCGAATTTCACCAGGACTGTGAACAAGGTCCGTACTAAAATAGGGCTTCCCACAAGCAAAACGACCATGTGCATAGTAATCCAGTAGAACGAAGACATCAGCAGGAGCTTGCTGAAACACCTTTTGAGATTATCGAGCCACAAGGTTGCACACCTTCATTCGCCGACAGAAAACACTAAATTGATTGGCCAAAGGCTTGGCTATTACTATTTGAGCGACTGAGTATCTGGAGCTCACTTTTGGTTCCTCTCAAATGGATTCCATAGAGTACCGTGAAGCATTTTTTAGCGCAACCTTTTTTTTTCCTTCGGCAACACCGCCCTCAATCCTTGACTTTTATGCGAAATAACGCTCTATGCTGGTACTTCCTCGTTGATCGAAGTGCAAGAAAAAATATAGCAATTCTCTAGTGACCCGCATGTTCTCTGAATCAAATTCCAATGGCGATTCACTGAGCCTTCACTGCGAGAATTCTGCGACGAAGCGAAGCAAAATGGAAAAATCGTAGGGCTGAAGTTTCATTATCTGCGGATAGACAATTTGATCCTAAGGTAATGGCTAACATGATTGCAATCACTCCAAAACAAATGTGGTCCTGATTGATGTGGAACCATGCCATTACTGAGGGGTTGGAACGTTCTTTTTGTTGTAAAAAATCTCGTTGAATGTGTAGCAGCGTTAGTGAAACTGTGGAAATTTGTTCGAAAATAGATCTTTGAATTACTCGACAATGAAATTTCTTAAGAAAGCCGATACCGAGCTTTTTTCATGAGTAATTCATTGAAAACCATCGCATGTTTCAAAAATGCACGGCAAGTCTGGAATAATAAAAGTTCGGGGTATATTGTACATATATAGGAACGCAGTGTATTCACGTCTACAGAACACACAGTTTTTCGCCCAGGAGCGAGAAGCTCCGCGAGTGCGTTGAGAACGTTTGCTTCCACTTTCACACCCTGTTGGCGTACGAACTTGCAGCACAAGTCTTTTCTTTATCTACCTTATACAGAGTGGCTACTAAATAATGAGGCGTGGCACATTAAGCATTTTTCACAAAGAGAGGCTATTACACATCCTCAAATGTTTATTTTTGTATACAATAAAACATGAGAGTGCATTGCATGCATGACATGCAAAGAAAGTGCTCGAAATGACTTCCTTCAGCTGCTTGAAGTCCCTTTTCAACTAACACTAGTAAACATTCTGCTCGACCTCCTTAACAAGCAAGTAGCCGATTCCCAAAATGTGTCATGATTTGGGCAGAAACTACTTCTGAAATCGCGACTTCATGACACCGCTTGTCTTTGTGGACAAATCCGTCAAAACCAACGCCCAGATCTACCAGGAAACAATTTTTTACGTGATGTGCTTCTTCCATGGACTGTTTTGACCTTCAGCGAACGTCATTGCATTCTTCAGCAAGACAGGGCGCCTCCACATGCCGCAAAATCAACGCTGGAGAACTGTGACCGTCATTTTCCAGTTACCGGGCACAAAATGTTTGGCCATCTAAGTCGCCCGATTTGAACCAATGGATTTGGCGGTGTGGGGCTTCTTGCAGCAGAAGATGCCTTTTAAGCAACATGAAGTTTGGACTATCTGAAGGCTTCCTTGGACGTCAGTTACTTGCGACCCACAGTTACGTCCGTCAGCTGAGAAGAGACTTGAAGCCTGTATCGCTGCCGAAGGAGGCCATTTCGAGCACCTTCTTTAGCAATGTACTGCCATGTTTACTGTATATAAAAATAAACTTCTGAAGATGTAATAGCTTCTCTTTTAAAAATATGGTCAACAATCCATGCGCCAATATTTAGTAGCCACCCTGTATAATTCGCCAAGTATGCCTGTGTGTGTACGTCCCTCTCTGTCATGAAATCATAGCGCGTGTCCCAGCAGTCATCAAGAGTTGATTTCAAGATATGATATAGGGGTGGGACGGGAACATATTTGGTGGGGGACAGAAAGTGATAACAACTGATAAGGGCTGATAACGGATTCAGAAGTGCAAATGTCACGGAATTCGAAGCAAGTGTCTCAGCAGCAGAGGGCTACTGTCGTTTGGAGGGTCATATTGTTGGTGGCAAAACGTGACACTAGCTGATCAGAGCAGGAATGCGATTAGCTCGAAAATTGAGGAGTTACTGAAATTCCTACCCAGGTGCGCCATATGAGATGAGTTCCATTTATATTGCGATTTCGCTGTCACCATCGAGACAGGTCACATAGCTAATCTCCCTTTTAGCTTTTTAAGATGGTCGGTATTTGTGGAAGTAAATGTTTGTGTTTCTATTTCAATGCCCCAGGCATAAACATTTGCAACCGCTAAACCATCCAAACATCCGAATCGTAATAGTTGTTTGTTAAAGGAAATCCTTCGCGGAAAATTCTTGCATTCTTTCTTGACATGAATGTGTCAGTTGTGATCACTGGAAACAGCACACAAAGTTTCACGCATGAAGATTCGGTTTCCGAAGAGAAACAAACGTACAAAAACTACACTTATGGACATCGAAGGTAATTCGGGCGGAGCCAAAGGCGAGGCATGGAAAGAAGTTGGCCTTTGGCCGGCTACGTATCAGGCGACGCAATGAAAGAATCGGGTTAAAGCGCGCGATTTCAGAGCAGGGTCAAGCGAGGCGTCGAGGAAAATTTCGGAAATACGACCCCCCCCCTCCCTCTGCCGAAGGCCGAAGTCCATGAAACAACCCTCTTCAAAAGCCGAACTATGAAAAAGTTGTTTAATTCTCCACCAAAACTGCTCATAAAAAAGCCCTGCTACCCCACCGTCCACAAAAAACTCGTTTAAAAAGTATAAAAGTGAAAAAGTCAAAGAATGATCATTAATGATGAGTCCTGTCAAACGAGCAAACGAGAAACGGAGCAAAAAAACGACAAACTAGTCATTAGGAATGGCGTACTATGACAACACCTCTTCTTTGTTTACTTCCTGCTCAAGACTTACCAAATTTTAGTACTACACAGATTATGGTTCTCAATTTACACGACCCGCTTCCGCTCAAAG